GGCACCCTACTCCGCTAGCAAGCCTGCCTGAAGGCACTCAGCTTTCTTGCTCCGTGGGCTGGGAAACCCACCACTCTGTCTCATGCCAGTCTCTTGGTTCTGCTGCTGTTCTCTCTCTGCCATTTTAGCACAGGGATCTTGGGTCCAAGGATGTGTTCCTTTCCTGGGTCTTCTTTCTTGGTGTTCATAAAATTTCTCCTCCCCTTGCCTCTGGGATGGGTCATTCATTTTAAGCCTAGAGGATGGCAAAACTGACCAGCCCCCACATTAGGATTCCATACACCTATTTCCATGGTCCCACTCCCACAAGGGTTCTATGCACCTTATTTACATTATTAGCAAACTATTCAATCTCCTTGGTGGGCTACAAGCACCTTACATTGGCATAGGTCCACCCAGTCAGCTGGTGGAAGTCACAAAGTCTGTAGCTAGAAGAACCATACTAAGTAATTCACTCTACCACAGGGCTCTTGAAACCAAAATTTTGAAAACCCCGACCTGTGTACAGTATTGGGGACATGGTTTCAAACCCTTGTGAAATCACAATCTGAAGGGGAAGACAAATGGACAATACAACACAGTATGATAAATGTTACCAGTGATACATACATAAATATTGGGAGAGCACAGGCCATTGTCAGAGTCCTGCAAAGAGCCACTTGCCCAATCACCTGCAGCATATGACTAATCAGTTTGATTGGACTGTACTTCCTATACTTGACTTTATACTTGATTCATAGTCTGACAGGGAAAGTGACTGAAATGAGCAGAAGAATGGGAACTGTTCACTTGCTGCTCTGAGAGGAAAGAAGGAAACTACACGTATTGAATGTCAGCTTTATGCCAGGCCTGATGCTAGATGTTTTAAGAAATGTGATTTTATTTAATTCTCATAATTTGCCCAATATCATATGGTTTAAAAGTGGTGAAGCTGTGATTTTGACGTAACTGTTCTGAATCTAAGTCCTGGGCTCTTTCATTGCAGTAATAATGCATTGCTAAATTGGTGGCTAATCCTAAGGTACTGCCAGATGGCTCCAGGAAACCTTGCCAGACTGGAATGGATAAGAGAAGGTAGAAAAGGTCTCAGGAAGGACAGGGAGACAGCTTAGGAAATGCTTGCTTGAAGAGTAATTTGTGAGTTTTGATTGACAAGATTTTTCTGGACTGGGTTCTGTGGCCATATGGGACATCAAACTTTTGTACTTCCTCATCCTCAATCCCTTTAATCCTTTTCTGTGCCATATAAAGCCAACAGCAAAGGTCACCTCTCTATCTGATCAGGTTACAAACCAAAGCCTGATTTTTAAAGCCCAAACTTCTTGGACCTGCAGGAGGTCTTTGAGGACAGTAGTTGACTGACTTCAGGCCAATGATGACCGATCTGGAGGTCCTCAGCCCTTAGAACGTGATAAACTATATCCTTTATTTTTAAAAGCCTACTAGAAGTTGTGCTTTATTTACAATAAGCCTGTATGTGGACACAGACTAATGAAAAGATCAGATTTCTTTACTTTAGGTCAGAAATCTGTCAATTCAGTGTGGTTCAGGTGTGCCAGTTCTGATCTTTTAGAGCAAGGGTCAGCAATCTATAGCCCAGATCTGGCTGTCTTAGTTGTTTAGTGCTAGTATAACAAAAATACCACAAGTAGGTGGCTTTAACGAACAGAAATTTATTTTTTCACAGTTGAGTGAATTCAGGGCACCAGCTCTAGGGGAAGATCCTGTCTCCTTTCAACATCTGTGGGCCTGGTTTTCCTTGGAGATCTCCATGTGTCTTGGCATCTGTCTTCCCGTGGGTATGGGAGGCTCTCATTTCAGGGACTCCGGGTTCAAAGGGCACACTCTGCTCCCAGATCTTCTTTCTTAGTGATAGTAAGGTCCTCTTCTCTCCTCTACCTCCTCTCTCCTTTTATCTCTTGTAAGATAAAAGGTGAGACTCAAGCCAAAGGTATGATTTGAGTAAGAGTGTGACTTAAGTAAGGTTGGAACTTGAGTATATGGATGTGACTGAAGTCACACCCTCTTTTAAGGCTATGACTCAAGACACACCCCACCCTAATCCTGCCTCTTTAACATATAGAGGTTAGGATTTATGACATATCACAAAATGGAGGATAATTAGGTCACAAAATGGAGGTCATCCACCAAAAACCCAAACCAAACTCATTGCTGCCATGTTAATACTGTCTCCTGGAGACCCTGTAAGACAGAGTAGAACTGTCCCATAGGGTTTTCTAGGCTGTGATCTTTGTGGAAGCGGACTGCCACATCTTTCTCCCATGGAGTGGCTGATGAATTTGAACTGCCAACCTTTCAGTTAGCAGCCAACCACCACTGTGCCACCAGGGCTCAGTACTGAGAATCATGGCCTCATCAAGGTGACACATATTTTTGGAGGGCAGAATTTAAGCCATGACAATGGCCCACTGTCTGTTTTTGTAAACTGGAACACAGCCACACTCACTCATTTATATATTGTCCGTGTCCATGGTAGCTTTTGTGCTATAATGGCAGAATTAAGTAGTTGCAACAGATCGAAAGATTCTAAATTATTTCCTATCTGATCCTTTACAGAAGAAGTTTGTTGACCACTTGAGTAATCATGATTCTTTCCATCATAGCACTTAGCACCTGGGTTTTGATTTCCTGTCTCTCCACTTAATTTTTTTTTTTTTTTTAATTGTGATTTGGGTCAAAGTTTATAGAGCAAATTTGTTTTCCATACAACAGTTCATATGCATTTGTTTCATGACTTTGGGATTGCAGTCCCCATGATGTAACAAACAGCTGTCTTCCTAATTCCTCTCTGTGATTACCTCTTCCCTGTGTCCTTCTTTCCTGTGCATTCCTGCCCTCTGAGCTATCTCCCTGTGCAAATACTGCCCTTCTGATGGCCCGTGGTTGATTGTTCTGAGTGTACCTACCTGGTGTAAATGGTCATCTTATATGCCTGTCTGTTGTTTGGTTGGAAGCCATGGGATTGAGTTCAATTCCAGGCTCAATGAATGACTGGGGGACTAGTCTTGGGGGTTTCACCAGTCTCTATCAGACCATAAATGATCATAAGGCTTGATATATGAAGTCCACTCAGTAAGTGTCATTTAGAAGAGGGCATCATATGCTGATCAAAAAGCTCTGATACGCAATTACACATACCTTCAAGTAATACAAAAACAGCCAGGGAAGAAAACAGTTGTGCTAATCTTAGTGCCATGTGCTTCATCTATGAGCTAGTCATTATTTATGGAGGAGGTAGATAATTTTTTCAGCAATGCTCTCCATGAATGAAACAATCATGCCAGGCACTCTTGTGGTAAGGAAGTTGAAAAACAATATCTTAATCTTTTGCTACACTCTTCTCAGTACCCACTATCCTCTCACCCTCTCCCCAGCTTGGCAGGATGAATGGAATATTTCTTTTGCATACACACAATTCATCTTTTTTTTTTTTTTTTAAAACCACTTGTACAGTGTGTTTCTTACCAGTGTTACCATCTGTGGCTTTTAGAAGATGTAATCATCCCGAAGCTATCAGGTCACCTTAATATAAAGGCAGTCTAAGTGAAGTGCAGGTCTGGGAGTCAGCAGATCAGGGCTCTTGCTGTGGTTCTTCATCTACCTTAGTTTGACTTTGGACATATTATTTCACATCAGTGAGCTTCAATACTGAGCAAATTTTTATTCAGTCACACCTAGGACACTTTGAAAATGAAATATTTACACCCCTACCTCATCTTAAAAAGGATCTGAGCAACTGGCAAACAGACAAGTAATCAAAAGGATTAGTGTTTCAGGTCTTTGATCAGTGCCTCTAGAAGGCTTCACAGCCACAGCCTTTTTACCCTGACCTTGCTTCCTCTCCTGTGATAAGCTTTTTTCTTATCTGGGGAGTCAAGATCTTTCTTCCATCTTCTTTGGGAGAGATCTGAAGAGTGCCCAGCCTAGGATGTGATTATTGAGACCAGGGTTAAAAGTAAAGAGGAAATTTTAGGATCTAAGACTTGTAAGAACTTACAGTTGTAAGAACTGTAGAAACTTTAGCCAAATTGCCTTTTTCAAATAGTGAACTTGAGACTTTGAGAAGGGAATTGATCTACCTAGAGGCACATGGTAGAGCTGAGACCGGATTCCAGGCAGACTTGTGCATCAGTCAGGCTAGGTGTTTTCCAGGTTGTAAGAGAGGATTCAGTGTCATGGAAAGAGCTGGGGTGACCCCAGCTCTTGTGCTGATGTTACGGGTCTGTGGCTGTGTGATGATAGGCAAAAGAAGAGGCACTCCAAACTCCCAAGCTCTTGTATCAGATGAGCTCAGGACCTCTAGATTCTAGATGTCTAATAGACATTTGCTGGTTATAGCTGCTTGTGGGATTTCCCTAGTCAGGCTGTGGCTGTCATTATATACACCAGCAATGACAAAGTGAACAAAAAGGAAAACTACCCATTATTCTGGCACTTGAACTATTTTCCCGTTTCTGAAACCGTATACTATTTTACATCACCACTAACTGTATAGGACTTCTTTTCACTGTGTTTGACTTTACTGAATTGTTAAATCTTTGTTTATTTGACTGATTAACAATGATCTCTCATTTTGAATAGGTATTTTTTTGATTACTCGTGTAGTAAATTTTTTTTCTATGTTCATTGGCCATTTGTATTTAGTTTCATTTGTGGGTTGTTTTTTTTTCCCCCCCCCTTGTGAATTATCCATCTATATTCTTTGTTCAGATCCTGGTATATTCCTAGTACTAGGCTTGATTTCTCTGCCAGGGAACTATCAGGATGATAAAGCACTGTCCCTGACTGGGGGAACTCAACATATTCTTAGGGAGACAGACAGTTAAAGGCTAGATGAAACACTTCCCTCCTAGTACAAGGGACCCATTCAGGGCCTACATGAGGAGTCAGATGCTAGAAGCTAAACACGCTGAGATAGGTGGGTGACAGAGGCTAGGTGGCAGCCCTGAGTAATGTTATCTCTTACTTTCCCTGAACAGAGTTTTGCCGGATTGACAAGCCCCTGTGCGACAGTGAGGATGAGAAGCTCAGCTTTGAGGCCGTCCGCAGCATCCACAAGCTGATGGACGATGATGCCAATGGTGATGTGGATGTGGAAGAAAGTGATGAGGTGAGCTTTCTCACCCTGTCTGGCGCTCTTCTCTTCCTGTGTGAAATAGTCTCTGAAAGCCACCTAGACAGACTGCTCCCTGTGGACAGATGTTCTCTGATGCTTGCTTCTTCTCTAGGAACTCTTCCCCATCAGGAGAGATGGCTCTCAGCAGAGCAGCCCTCAAGAAGCTAGCCTGTCAGAGTGCAGCCTTTATGCCCATGTCTGTATCTGGACTGGCTCCCACATGGCTAGTCACATGACACTGACTGAGTGTGCTGTTTGAAGGGGAGAGGGAAGCTTGAGTTTTCCCTGGATCCTTATTGTAATCCTGCTGTGGATAGAAGTGATCAGTCGGTACTTACTTAGTGCTTGGCGTGTGGAAAAGAAGGCCAGGCAGTCAGATCCTGTCTTCTGGAAGCTTAAACTCTATTTGGGAGGAAGAAACAGATGTTTTTAGAAAGATCATTTTTGATTCCAGGTTGCAGTTGCTAGAAGCCAGTTGAGTGGTCCAGGTATTAAGAGCTAGAGGGATCTTTAGGATGGAGAACGTTCTGTTATTGTTTCCCCTTTTGGCATTACTACAGCTCCAACTTCACAGAGCCCAGAGGACATGGTCATCATGAAGAGAAGATTTAAGGGTTTGGATTGACTTTAAGCTCAACATGAGCCAGCAGTTTAGGGAAATTGCCAAGTTATGCCAACTCTTCAGTAGTGATAAGGTTTATGAAATGAAGGAGGAGGCAAGTCTCGTCTTTCTTCCTTGCTTGTTAGCCCACCTTTGAATTTTGAATTCAATTTTGTATCGCATGTTGTCAGAAGGTTTTAGAACAGTGAGAACCTAATTAGAAAAGAATGACATGAATGATGAAGGGTATGGAAACTATGAAATGGAGAGTATTGAATACAATTCAGCTCTGGTAGCATAGTGCCTAAGGTACTTGACTGCTAACCAGAAGGCTGGTGGTTCAAACCCACCAGCCACTCCTCGGAAGGGAGGTTGGGCAATCCTACTTCCGTAGTGATACTGCCTCGGAAACCCAAGGAGGGGTCGCTATGAGTCAGGGCCGACTCGATGGCAAATAACAACAACAACAACATTATGTATGTGCCAGACCTTGTACCAGGCACTGGGGATGTGACAGTCAATAAGACAGACACAGTCTGTCCTCATGTAATTTATTATATATAGTGAAGAAACTCTAGTCTGGAGAAGAAGAGATTCGGGTAGTATAATGTCTGTCTTCAAATACATAAGAAGTAAAGGAGTCAGAAAAATAAAGATGATGATAACAGTGACAACTAGTATTAACTATCATGTATTGAACTCTTAACTCTGTGCCAGGCACAGTGTTAAGCTCTTTGTATAGTTACTGTTTGCCTTTTGAAGTTGGTGTTATTACCAAGGATTGGAGACTTGGAAAGATTAGGCATTTTGTTCAAGAGCACCCTGGATTTGAGCTCAGATCTGATTTCAAAGCCCATGCTCTTAAAGCACTGGTGTATTGTTTCCTGTATTCTAAGGACCAGTGTGGGGAAAGTAAAGGATAGGCATATTCTTCTAAAGTAAAGAATTATCTATCAGAGCTATCTTGTCATAGAAAAGTCTGGTTTGGTAGATAAATGAACTCTGTCACTAAAGATGGACAAGTAGAGTACAGAACTCCACTGATTGGTCAACAGAGGGGAGTTTATATTAAGTTGAGCTAGATAACATCCAAGGAATTCAAAGTAGGGGGAAAATAGACTTTGTAGAGGAAAAGTAGGATGTGGATAGAGTGGAAGGGGTGGGGCAGCCTGAGTGGTGGGGAACTAATGTGAACAAAGGTGTGCAGGTGGTATGAAGCATGGTTTAATTAGAAAGATTGGTAGAAAACTGCAGGACAGAAAATTGGAAAGGAAATTGAGGCCCAGGCAGCCAGGCTGAGATGTGTGTACTTGTTAAACAAGACAATTACGTGTTCTTAAGCAAGGGAAACAACCATTATGAAAGTACCTGAATTTTTGGTCACATCTAGAGCTGTGTGACCCTCAGTGGACAAAAAAAAAAAAAAAAAAAAATTTTTTTTTTTTTTTTTTTTCCTACTAAGAGTAGAACCATGGCCTTGGTGGTGAATGAAGCCTAGAAGTGTCCTGATCTCATCCCTAGGATCTGGCTACATGACGGGGACAGGGACAGCTAAGAAAGTGATATGATCCAAGATCTACAAATTCCTGGATATCTTTGTCATCCGCTCCTCCTTCTTTTTTCACTTTCTGCTAAATTGCTTTGTTAATGAGGAGAGGGAGAAAATGTTCTTTTTAGAGGAACGTTACCACAACAAAAAGCTCATCAGCACAAACTGTTCCAAAATAATGCAAAAGCTGTCACCCCACTCTTCTCTGCGCCAGGGGTGAGCTGTTCTTTTTCAGCACAGCTTCTGTCTTGCCTCGACTTCACATGCTCTCCCTGCCACCTCAGGCCTCTGCTGGTTAGAGAGACCTGCTAGTCTGGGTTTTCGTGATCAGTTGCAAACTATTGTACTCGACAAAGAAAGTAGGGGCAGTATAGTGTGTGTGCTTAGGTCATTCCAAACATATATGAGACAACCTTGGAGTTCAAGACCTAACTAGAAAGCTGGAGGACAGCTCATGGCTTAGAAGGTTGGGTAATACATGATGAGGTACCAGTAAAGAAACCCTGTTTGTACTGGTCATTGAGCACTTGAGATTTTTATGAACCATTTAAAAGTATTGCTGATTATCTGAGGACCTTAGCAAAAGTCTGAAGGGATGCTTATATATTCAATTTCATATTGGTGAGTTTTTCAGATAACGAAACTATAATGTCAGTGCTAAATCTTTCAAAACTTTAGCTATTTTTAAAGAACTCTTTCTTCTTACAGATTATTGTGAACGTGGTGTTAACTTTCTTTGAATAGTTTACAGCATGTCTTCAGGACCTCTTGCACTATTACTAAAGTGCCTAGATTCCTAAATGCATTGTTGTGATTGCTTCTTATAGTTTTGCTGTTTCTTCTTTGATTCATCCTCATTTCTAATTGCTGTATCTATTCCATCATGAGCTGTGAAATTATAAACTGAGGCCCATCAGGCATTTTAGAGAGACTATGTAAGTGTGAGTATAAAACAGCAGTGAGTTTGGTTTTGAGTAAAAGTGTGAGTTGGCCAGTTTGACTGCTCCAGGGCCATTTTTGCTTGTTTCTGTTTTAGGTAGCAAAGGTTTTGGATTGTGCACCCTTTAGGTGAGCAAGATGGCATTATTGGTAATGGTGCCCTTTATACAAAGCTGGCATAGAGTTCTACCAGGCTGGCAGTGTGGAAGTTCATGACATGCTTTCTACTCATACCCTTAGTGCGAACAATGCCCGTGGGAAAGTATTTGCTGCAGTGCGATGGTACTTTCAGGTTGTCTTTACAGTCTGACCTAGGTAGACAAGAGTGTGTCTATAACCACTGTCGCCTGACTGGACCAGACTCTTTGACAGCAGTGCTGTTTTCTTCTCTGAAGCCTACATGGACAATCATGGGCATTTATTCAGCCATTAAACAAATTCCTATTGAATACCTACTATGTGCCAGATGCTATTTTAGGGCTAGGAATACCAGAGTGAACAAAACAGGTAAGATCCGTGCTTTTATGGAGAACAGTTTTTTTTTTTTTAAATAAAGTTATAAACTTATTATGTCCCAGCAATTGTATACTTAGGTATTTACCCTATAAATGAAAACTTATGTTCACCTTAAAACCCGTAAATGAAAGTTCATAGCAACTTTATTCATAATTGCCAAAAACTGGATACAACCCAGATGTTTTTCACTGTGTGAATGGATAAACAAACTATGGTATGTCCATGCAGTAGAAAACTACTCAGCAATAAAAGGAAAGAACTATGCATGCCCAGAGTGTGGATGAATCTTAAAGGCATTATGCTAAGTGAAAGGAACCAGTCTCAAGAGGTTGTATACTATATGATTCCATTTATATGACGTTCTGAGAAAGGCAAAAACTATAGGGATGGAGCATGTATTAGTGATTACCAGAGATTAATGGTGTGGTACCAGAGATTAATGGTGTGGGGAGTGTTTGACTCGAAAGGGACAGAATAAGGGAACTTTTTTGAGTGGTGGAACTGTCCTAGATCCAGATTGTAGTGGCAGTTACATGAATCTAAATATGTTTTAAAGTTCATAGAACTAAACACCAAAAATAATAATTATAATAATTTCTTCATATGCTAATTAAAAAAGTTCTTAGCCTTGTCCCTGACATATAATACAAACTCAGTGAATGCTACTTTCTCCTTTGTGTTCCTCTGTGTTTCCAGAAAATCTACTTGTATCTGATAGTTCTATTTTAGTGCTTGTCTGATTGATATCTATTTCTCTCATCATATTTTGAGTCTTGTAAAGGCAGGGACTGATCTTATCTCACATGTCTCTGTTTGACCAGTGTCCAACAGAGCCTGGTACAGATTATGTACCTCATCACCTTGCTGAATGACTGGCCAATACCACTATAGCTTCATGGTGTCCGGCTGAGATGGAAGTCCTAAGCAGGGGGTGAGCACACTTTGTGGGTGGTAGGGATGAGTAGTTAGTAGTATGAGCCCAGGAAGATTTCACAAGAATCTATGAACCTGCAAGATCTACTTGTGATCCTGTAAGAGTTTGGGATGTGTGGTGTAGAAGTACAGCACAGGGTTAAGAGCTTGTACTCTGGAGCCACACAGACCTTGATTTGAACTTGGCTGTGCCTCTTATGAGCTGTGTAAACTTGGGAAAGTTACTTAATCTCTTTGTGCTTCAACGTCTTAATCAGGAATTGAAGTAATAATAATGGGCACTTTGTGAGGTTATTGAGAAGATTATATGAAATAATGCATATAAGCAAGTAGTGCAATGCCTGGCACATAGGAGAGGCTCAGTAAATGTTAGTTTTGGTTGTTGCTATTATTGTTTTTTGTGATTATACATTTTGAGGCAAACAAACTTCGTTTGAAACTTGGCTTCATCACTTA